AAACTAATGCATTCATACACATTCACACACTGATGCACAGCATCGGGACCAATTTGGGGTTCAGTATCTTGCTCAAGGATACTTTGACATGTAGCAGGAGGAGCCGGGGATTTAACCAAAAACCTTCAGATTAGGGGACAACCTGCTCTGCCTCTGCACCACAGCCACCCCATAAATTGAGTTAGTCAGTTGACAGATCGATGACACAGGATTTGGATTTATCATGTACTCAATCAAAATACCAGAGGTGTGGACACTCAACTTGACAAAATAAAAAAATACTTGCAACTTAACTTGGTCTTTATAACCACTGACTCCTGACTTCACTTTGATTTGATCCTTTTGTCTTGAAAGTTCTTCATACCTTTCTCAAAGCCCAAATATTAAATTAAAATAACTATGTTATTTAAAAAGTGTGCCAAGAATACATTTCCTGAGGCTAGTTAACGTTAATACTATTCATTCTCAAGTCGACACTTAATTCCCCAGGTCCACTTTGTTTGAGCCAATCTGATAGCAAGTTTTAGGAGAGAACCATGAAGAACTGACGTTATGTTACTGAGCAACAGTTTGTAAAAATTGTACCAAACATAATTTCTCTTATGTACAAAACCTACGCTCATCATGACTTGGAAATAAAAGTTTAGGACTTGACTGGGACTTGACTTGTCTTGACTTACGTTATCAGGGGATTCTTGGTCAGACTGAATAAACTATGTGAAACTTATTATTGCCACATTTCATTAAAAATTCAAGAACAGATAAAAAATGTGAATAAACAATGACTTGGTCCCACCTCTGCAAAATACCAACCTAACAACCTAAATACATTTTATTCATTGTGAGGATTTGTTGTTTTTCTGTTTCATATCATAAACTGATTTTTTTTTTGGATTTATAGCCATATTGAATAAAATATGTGTAAAAAATAAGTTATTGCCACATTTCATTGAGTAAACAATTCATTACACAATTAAATAACATATTTAAAAAGTCGAACTAATAATACTTGAATCAAAAATGAAATTAATCATTATTGCAGGCTTAAGTGCTACAGTAATGAAATGAAAAATGCATGCTTTCATAGAGCCTGTGGCAAGACCAGCTCACGAGGCAGTCATAAGTTAGCTTTTGTCACCACCCCTCGAAAGTCTTCTTTGATTTTCCTGTGAGACACAATCACTTAAGTCTTTATACAGTACTCACTAATGCAGGCCACACAGAGTACAGTGGGCACTGGTACACACAGCGTCCCGGAGCAGGTGTGTGTGTGTGTGTGGGGGGGGGGAGTGGTTAGTGGAGGTGGCAGTACTAGAACCACAGGGGAGTCCTATTGAATAAACATGGCTGGTAGGATATCATCCATGAAACCTCTACACACACACAAACACACAC